CACTCTCTCAAGATTTGCTGCAGAGTATAAAAATAATTCCACAATAGCAAAGCAAATTCACCAGTGAGATTTTCTTCTCACTGAAGTAGAAACACCAGGCAAATGATAAATCTGTTAGATTACAATTACATTAATATTGTCCAATTTATAATCCACAACTTCATAATATATAAGTGTCTGAATTATTTGTACAAATTCCCTCTTTTTATACTACCTATGGAGAAGTCCTGGAGCCCTGGTGGAGCAGTGGTTAAGACCTTAGCAGCTGCTAACCAAAAGGTTAACAGTTCAAAACCACCAGCAGCTCCCAGGAAACCTTATGCGACAGTTCTACTCTGTCCTATAGGGTTGCTATGAGTCAGAATCGACTCGCAACAGGTTTGGTTTGGGTTTTTATGAGGAAGTTCTACTCTGTCACATGGGGTCACTCTGGGTCAGAATTGACAGCATCCAACAACAACAACATACTATCAGTAGTTTCTGTCTTCATGGTGATTAGTTCAGCCTCATACACTTGGCACATCTCAATGAAATACTGATACATTGACTGGCTTAGGTATTAAATACAAAAAGAGGCCCTTGAAATGCAGATGACACCAACATTAAACAAACAAGCTTGAGGCAGAATCACAAAATATTCTCAACCTGATTGCCAGGAGACCAAAAATATGGCACACAAAAGGGAAGTTTGATGTCTGGACCACAGGTTTAGCCTTGGCAAATCAGATGAGCCAAGCTTCTCCATCCAGTACAATTCAGTCATGCTCATCTGCTCATACTTTACAGTTGTTTATCAAATAGGAGTTGTGGTGGGAAACATGCAACACTGATTATTTAAAACCCATACCCACGTGGGCACACATACACACAAACTATGTATTTATGACTTCAGAAACCTTGTAAAAAAACAAAATGTTAGAATGTAATAACTGGAAATGCATGATGAAATTTCAGTGAAATGAGCCTATCATCAGGCAAGATTACTGTGAAAATGTTAATTGCACAGGCTGTTGTTGTTGGAAAATAAGAGAACTGTTTGCTCTCTTCACTGGCATTAACCAGATTTTCCTCCCCCATTGTTACTGCAAGACCAGAAAAAGACACTACTTCAAGCTGAATCCTTTCCTGCAAAATCCACAAGCCAATCAGTGATGTTTCACATGCAACGTATCTATTTCTGCATTATGTCTTCCAAATGCAGACATTTGAGAAATATAAATCTTGTCACAGTAAGGTCCAAAGGAAACATTTGATTTTTTTTTTTTATTGTTGTAATTAAATGAGGTTTACATTTCAAGTTAGTCTCCCATACAGTATTTTTTTTCAACATACATTGTTATGAGACACCAACCGCTCACCCCATTCTGTGACAGCACACTCCCCCACTCCGCCCCTGATTCCCCATGAACCATTCAACCAGCTCCTCTCTCTGCCTTCCCCTCTCACCTCTAGACAGAAGCCACCCCTTTGGTTTCTTATATCTACTTGTCTAAGAGGCACATTCTTCACAAGTATCACTTTATGTCCCACAGTCCAGTCCAATCCCTGTTTGAAGAGTTGGCCTCGGAAATTGTTTTAGTTCTGGGGTGATGGAGAGACCAGGGGCCATGCTTTCTGGGGCACCTCCAGTCTTAGTCGGACCATTAAGTCTGGTCTTCTTACTAGAATTTGAGTTCTGCATCCCATCATTCTACTGCTCCATCAGGGACCCTCTGTTGTGTTCCCTGTCAGGACGTTCATTGGTGGTAGCCGGGCACCATCTAATTCTTCTGGTCTCAGGCTGATGAAGTCTCTGGTTTATGTGGCCCATTCTGTCTCTTGGGCCAATACTTACCTTGTGTCTTTGGTGTTCTTCGTTCTCCTTTACTCCAAGTGGTTGGGACCAATTGATGCATCTTAGATGGCCGCTTGCAAGCTTTTAAGACCCCAGGCGCCACTCACCAAAGGAGGATGCAGAACATTTTCTTAATAAGGTTTGTTATGCCAATTGACATAGATGTCCCCTGAAAGCATGGTCTCCAGCTCTGTATCCCTGCTACTCTGTCTCTCAAAGTATTTGATTGTATTGAGGAAACTTCTTAGCTTTGGTTTAGTCCAGTTGTGCTGGCTTCCCCTGTAGTGTGTGCTGTCCTTCCCTTCACCTAAGATCATTCTTATCTACTATCTAGTTAGTGAATACCCTCACCCTCTCGCCCCACCCCTGAGGAAACATTTGATTTGAAGTCAAATCTTCACTGATCATTCTAGGCTAAAATAAATCATAGGAAAAAAAAAACCTTTTTAAATTGCACCACCAGGTTAAATGCATATTCTGTTATGTAATTTCCATATCATAGTTTCCTGTTAGAACTTAAAGTTAACTTGTTAACTATTAGATGTGTATACTCCACCTAGGATATGAAACTATAGCTGTGTACTTTGTTCCTGATGAGTTATATGTTGTCTTAACCACTAACAGTAAATACTTGTACTATTTGTATAAGGTACATTTTCTGATTTTGTTTCATTATATTTTAGAGAGAATAATCATTGGTTTCTTATTTTGAGCCATTAAAGGCAAATAGAAAACAGAGTCTCTTCAGTTCCTAGTATAATTTTATGTGAAACGGATACTACTTTGATGCTAATTCTTTGGATAATAGTATAACACCTTGAAGCTTTTCTAATATTTTTGTCAGAAGAATATATACTTATGTATTTTTCCTTTTCCACAACTCTTCAAAAAAAGGAAGAGTAACAACTCAGAAAAGCAGAGTGAGAATGGGTGCACAACTCAAAGAATGTAATCAATGTCACTAAATTGTACATGTAGAAACAGTTGAATTGGTGTGTGTTTTGCTGTGTATATTCTCAACAATGACAAAATTTTAAAAATATTCTGAAACAAAAATAAAATATTAGGGCCAAATAATCTGATTCCCTTTTTTTCCTTTCCCCATTTGCTTTTAAAGCAATAATTACAATACCATAAAAGATTTTTTTGAATAAAAGTTTTACTCTTGAAAATGTGGACAATGGAAGGAACATCCAGGGGCTTCCCACTAGATGGAAGGGAGGGTGCAGAGAAACAGGTTGATTATAAACATTCTGTACCACAACCATAACACAACCATGACCATAACAACCAACCACAAAATCCCCATAAGCATTATTGTTCATGCAGGGTTATCATGCAGGATCAGCAAGACATCCACATAATATGATAATTTATTCTCCACCACCCTCATCTTCGAGTAAAACTGTTGGGGGAAATGGAACCAAGACTCTGCAAATAAGTGTGACATCTTCCTTATTTAGTTAGTGAGGTCCCATATCCTAGCTAATGTTTTTGTTTTTTTTAATTGAAGCGCTATAGATGCCTTGGGGCCCTGGTGGTGCAGTGGTTAAGGGCTCAGGCTGCTAACCAAAAGATCAGCAGTTGGAATCCACCAGCCACTCCTTGGAAACCCGATGAGGCAGTTCTACTCTACCCTGTAGGGTCGCTATGAGTCGGAATCAACTTGATGGCAACAGGGTTTATAGATGCCTCAGAAGGAAAATCCTCCTAAATGTTTTCATAATGTTGATCAGGCTTATAAGATTTTAAAAGCCAGGAAAGAAAGTAAAGTATAAGCCATCGTGTGGTAAATTTTAGAGAGGCAACCAAGACAAGTTATACCAAATGTAATAATCATAGTAATAAATTCAATAATGGGTATATTTTTCTAGATTATGTACACATTACGATTGGACATATCCAGGCAAAATATATGAGCTGCTAAATTGGGATTGAATTTGGTGATTTATATGATAAATTGTCGTTCTGTTAGTCCATTCATTTAACATTGTCTTCTGTCTAGTCTTCTGTCCCAAATTGCATTATGATTAAAACCTATTGCCATCGAGTCAATTCCAGCTTATAGCGACCCTATAGGACAGAGTAGAACTGCCCCGTACAGTTTCCAAGGATCGCCTGGTGGATTCAAAAACAGCTGACCTTTTGGTTAGCAGCTATAGCTCTTAACCACTACACCACCAGAGTTTCTAGCATAGACCAAGAAAACAGAGTGTTGAGAACCCTGTGGACTAGAAGTAGCAATACTCAATTTTAATCTAATATCTATAAATAAGATATTAAATGGAAAATATGTGATTATAGGTATTTAAATGGCAAAAACAGACTCATGGGAAAGATGGTAGTGTGGTGGGACGTCACTGTATTTGCCAAGTGAGTTAGAACACTAGGCAAATCTTTTATCATACAGGATTCTATTCAAGCAGTCTCTAAAGTAAAAGAGAACTCCTAAACTATAGAACACCTCGGCGCAGAGACATACTGGGATGCATCAAGATGTTTCTTTATGAGGAAAATAATCTCAGCCTTCTGAATCATATCAGGAGGGGGAAAAAAAAGACTGAAGGAGAAACCACAACCTTTATGTTGCATATCTAACAATGATGTCTTGAGATCCTGAGGATGCTCCTTGTCAGTTATTTATGAATGGCAGCAAGTAGATAACGAGCTCAAGGTGATGGTTGAAAAGATCTTTGCTTGGGCAAAAGGATTGTAGCTATACTGCTGGTTTTAATCTAAGATAAAATCATATGCATTTATTTTCTCTTAATTGTGCTTAATATATATTTTGATGAAATTCTAAGACATGTTCACTGACAAGTGTATGATATGAATTCAGTAGTCCTACTATACTTAGGAATACATTATGCTGCCCTTCAGTTAATGAATGGAATCTTAGAAACAATAGGCAAGGCATGTCAGTTTATGGCTAACTCAAAGATAAGGTTTGAAGGTTTGTTTTCTGCGTCTGGATCTCATTTTGAACTATTGTCTTATTGGGGGAAAAAAACTGTGTTTTCACTGACTATTATTTTTATTTATTATGTATGATGAAATACATGTTTTAAGGACTGTCGTGTTTCTAGTAATGTGTTCTTTACAAATAAGATGAGTCGTTAGAACAGTCCAGTGGTTAAAACTCTAATTGTGTAACTTATTTTCATAGGAAACTTACAGAGACTCATCTGGAAACTATTCCCAGTCATGCATTTTCAAATCTGCCCAATATTTCCAGGATGTAAGTAATTCTTTCAAATATCAAAATAGTTTGCAACTGTGACATGTTATTTTCTAATTGTCACATGTGCTCTATTAAAAATGTTTTGTTATCTATTATACTTGCTATAAGTCAATGTACACTTTTAAAGTATGTGAAAGTACAAGATGTTTATTTGATTTTGCTACATTTCCACTCCTTAGTTCCTAAATGATTTTTTTAACCTAAAGCAAATTTAAATTCTTTTGGTCTTGAGAATTTTACAGTCCTCAACATATTTTAATATATCTTGGGATGAAAACTTTAGCTAGGAATCTCTTCTGTAAACAGATTTATTTATCTATCTCTGATCTATGAATTTTAGTAACCAATTCTTGATTTACCTTTCACCACTAATACAAAAGTTTAAATTTGTCATAATTGTAGTCAACGATTTCTGACTTCTCTCATAAAAGAGAAAGGAAATAAAAGAAAATAATTAGGAATAATTCTAAACCTTAGAAGACTGAATTGCTATCCACTCAGAGCGGAGGGAAAAAGGATTTCTCCGTTGGGTTGACAAAGAGCACATCTATATATGAGGTGAATCAAGTCTCTACTTCATTTAATTTATTGTGACAGGCAATGCAGATCATTTAGGCACACCAAATCACATACAACCAGGAGCAGCCTGTGCAGTTTCTGGGTAAATTTACTCATTTCATGACCATTTATTGAGTTTCTGCTGTGTCATTTCACTGGTTTCTCAATCAGGCATGATTTTACCTCCCAGAGGCATTTGTCAATGTCTGCAGATACTTCCGGTTGTCACAACTGGAGGGGGCACTACTGGCATCTAGTGAGTAGAGGCCAGAGATGCTGCTAAGCATCCCACAATGCACAGAACAATGCCCCCCATAACAAGTTTTCCAGTACAAAATCTCAATAGTGCAAGGCTGAGAAATCATTCTAACTGAACCTCTCTACAATTCTGGATGTTGCCTTCCATTTTTAAATTCTTGTCTCCTTTGGTTTCATTCTTATTGCTCTTTCATCCCTCTTTGTCATATCTTACACTGAGTACTCTTCTTCAGTTTCCTTCTTCATATCCCAGTTTATTTTATTTTACTTTATTTTTGCCAATTCCTCAAATACCAGTACTTTCTTTGTTAATTTTGTCTTAATTCCTATATACCCTACTCTCCTTGAATGAACTCTTACGGCTTCACTCTTACCTAATGCAGTTAATTCATAAACTAATATCTCTAGCCCTGACTCGTTCCTACAATTCAAAATCCATGGAAATCCATTGCCATAGAGTCGATTCCAACTTAGAGTGACCCTATAGGACAGAGGAGAACTGTCCCATAGAGTTTCCAAGAAGCATCTGGTGGATTCAAACTGCCAGTCTTTTGGGTAGCTGCCATAACACTTAACCACTGTGCCACCAGGGCTCCCAACTCGGGACTGCATTGTAAACTTCCTTCTGAAAATCACCACTTTGATGTTCCACAGGCATTTCAAACTCAACAAATCCAAAATAAACACATGATTTTCCTCCTAAACTCCTTCTCCTTTTAACAGCACCACCATTTAGTGCCCTATAAACTAAAGACCTCAATCACCTTTAGCTCCTCTCTTTCCCTCATCTCTCTTATACAGTTGCCTATTTGGTGTCTCCGCTTGGATGTTCCAATAGCTTGGCTATTACTTCATTCATTCAACAAATATTTATTGAGTCCTACTTTATGCCTGGCATTATGCTAGATGCTCCTTAGACAACAGTGGACAACACTCATGAAGACTTCAGTTTCATTCCTGAGGGAGTGATGAGTGTCATGATGTGAGAAGTTATCAGAAGCTGTGCGAACTCATATGAGAGACACATGACCTGGGCGGTATGATCAGGGAAGTCTTCCTGAAGGAAATGATACCTAGCTTGAGATCTGCATTATCAAGGCAAAAAGTTGGTGGGAAAAATAGTTCCAAGCAGGAGGGAAAAGTCTGGGCTGTTTGAGAAATTGAAGTAAGTTTGTTAAGGCTGGAGCTTCGGATAGGAGGGGAAGGTGGTAGCAAAAAATAAGACCAGTGGTAAGCAAGATTCAGAGTCTTTTGAGTCATGTGAAGGAATTTGAAGCCTTCCCTAAGGACAAGGTAGAGCCACTGTATGGTTTTAAGCAGGCCAGAGTGACGTGATCAGATTGTTATTTTAGAAGCATTCCTTTGACTGTACTGTGGAGAGTAGATTGAAGAGGATTATGGCTGGAGACCAGAAACTAGTGAGGAGGCTGAATAATGATGGTTGAGTGGGGGGTAAAGAAAAAGTGGTGAGATTTGAGAAATAAATAAGAGATAATTGACAAACTTGATATTTGATTGATTTGCAGGATGAGGGAGATGGAAAAGAATTGCATCCAGGATTCTGGCTAGGACGACTGTGTGGTGACGAGGGCATTTGCTGAGATAGAGCAGCATTTTTTGTGGATCTGCTGTGGATGAGTAGAGGGTATATTAGGAGTTCATTCGTAGTATTGGAGGTGCCTTTTAGGCTTCAAGCAGATAAGTCCAATAGACATTAGGACATATGCATAATTTCTCATTCATTCATTCAACAAATATATACTCAGTCTCTGCGATGTGTCAATCACTGTCCTCGGAGTTAAGAAAACAACCAGGGAGTAAAGTGAACAAAGATCTCTGCCCCTGAGGAGCTTCCACTTAAATGGAAGAGATAGACAATGAACCATAAACATAATAAATATGTAAGTTATATACTAATTCAGAAGGTAATAATGGATATGGAAAAAGTAAAACACAGTAAGGAAGACTGGAAATGCTGGGTGTGTGGGGAGCACCCAGGGGAGAGATTTGGGTGGAGATTGAGACTTGAGAGTCATAGGCAGATGTAACTGGGACCACTGGAAGGTGTCAGTAAAGAGGGGGAAGTTGGAGAGTGTAAAAAGAACAATTTTGAAAGCATGAGTTCCTTGAGGAGACATGAGGGGATGGAATCCAAAAAGAAGGGAATGACCTTCTACAGGCAGATGGTCACCTTCTGCATTATAACAGGAAAGTAGCAAAAGATGGGGCAGATGCAGGTCAGTTAGTAGATTTGTTGGTGGCAAATTGAAGGAATTCCCATATAAAAAGTTATCTCTTAAGAGTACCCCCCACGTGTCCGTCAGTTTGTCCTACTGTGGGGGCTTGCATGTTGCTGGGATACTGGAAACTATGCCACCAGTATTCAGATACCAGCAGGGTCACCCATGGTGGACAGGTTTCAGCTGAGCTTCCAGACTATGACAGACTAGGAAGAATGACCTGGCAGTCTACTTTTGAAAAGAATTATCCAGTGAAAACCTTATGAATAACACTGTCTAATATAGTGCCAGAAGATGAGCCCCTCAGGTTGGAAGGCGCTCAAAAGACAACTGGGGAAAAGCTGCCTCCTCAAAGTAGAGTCAACCTTAATGACATGGATAGAGTCAAGCTTTCGAGACCTTCATTTGCTGATGTGGCAGAACTCAAAATGAGAAGAAACAGCTGCAAACATCCATTAATAATCAGAACATGGAATGTATGAAGTATGAATCTAGGAAAATTGGAAATCGTCAAAAATGAAATGGAACACATAAACATTGATATCTTGGGCATTAGTGAGCTGAAATGGACTGGTATTGGCCATTTGGAATCGGACAATCAAATGGTCTACTATGCCAGGAATGACAACTTGAAGAAGAATGGCATTGCATTCATCATCAAAAAGAACATTTCAATGTCATTAACACCACACACAAGTAAAATTTTGCTGAAGATGATTCAAAAGTTGCTGAAGCAGTATATCGACAGAGAACTGCCAGAAATTCCGGCTGTATTCAGAAGAGGACGTGGAACCAGGGATATCATTGCTGATGTCAGATGGATCCTGGCAGAGAATACCAGAAAGATGTTTACCTGTGTTTTATTGACTATGCAAAGGCATTCAACTGTGTGGATCATAACAAATTATAGAAAACATTGTGGAGAAAGGGAATTCCAGAATACTTAATTGTGCTCATGAGAAGCCTGTACATAAATCAAGAGGCAGTCATTCTAACAGAACAAGGGGATACTGCATGGTTTATCATCAGGCAAAGTGTGTGTCAGGGTTGTATCCTTTCACCATACTTCTTCAATCTGTATGCTGAGCAAATAATCCAAGAAGGTGGACTGAATGAAGAAGAACGCAGCATCAGGATTGGAAGAAGACTCATTAACAACCTGCATTATGCAGATGACATGACCTTGCTTGCTGAAAGTGAAGAACACTTGAAGCACTTACTGATGAAGATCAAAGACCACAGCCTTCAGTATGGATTACAGCACAACATCAAGAAAACAAAATCCTCACAGCTGGACCAAATTGATTAAAATGCATTTGATTCCATTTTACTTGAATCCACAATCAACACCCATGGAAGCAGCAGTTGAGAAATCAAAAGACACATTGTATTGGGCAAATTGGCTGCAAAAGACCTCTTTAAAGTGTCGAAAAGCAAAGACGTCACCTTGAAGACTAAGACTCGCCTGACCCAAGCCATGGTGTTTTCAATCGCCTCAATGCATGCGAAAGTTGGGCGATGAATAAGGAAGACCGAAGAAGAATTGACGTCTTTGAATTATGGTGTTGGCAAAGAATATTGAATATACCATGGCCTGCCAAAAGAACAGACAAATCTGTCTTGGAAGAAGTACAAGCAGAATGCTCCTTAGAAGCAAGGATGGCGAGACTACGTCTCATATACTTTGGACATGTTGTCAGGAGGGACCAGTCTCTGGAGAAGGACATCATACTTGGTAAAATAGAAGGTCAGCGAAGAAGAGGAAGACCCTCAAAGAGATGGATTGACACAGTGGCTGCAAACAATGGGCCCAAACATAACAACAATTTTAAGGATGGTGCAGGACCGGGCAGTGTTTCATTCTGTGGTACATAGGGTCGCCATGAGTCAGAACTGACTCGACAGCACCTAACAACAACAACAACAACAACATTAAGATTACAGGCAGAGGTGACAGGGTTAGAAATTGGATGAGAAGGTTTCAACTAAATGTGGAGGGAAATAAGAGAGGGAGGGTTGACAGATACACAAGATATCCAGGCAGATTTAAAGGTGAGTTGAGCCTTCTTCCAAGGAGATGCTAGATGCTCTAGCCTGGGTTAAGTGTTCCCTGAATCCCATCAGAGCCCTTATCAATCCAGTTTGTTATCTGTTTATCCGTCTGTATCTCCCACTACACTGTGAGTTCCTCGAAAGTAGGGAATGGGTCAGTTTTGTCAATGTCCAGAAGAATGTCTAAATGTTCAATAGATATTTCTTAAAGTGAAAGCACATACTCATGAATGAGTAATAGTTAAAGAGGTGGTATGTCTATGGGAAGGGAGAAATCACCAGGATGACCTTAGGTAGGATTGCCTGCCACAGTTCAAATTCCCACTTGTTATTCTGGCATAATTATTAATAGCATCCCAATTTCACTCACAAAAATATCCTAGTTTGGATGATAAATAATATGGTCAGCCTAGTGGTCATATGAGATTTACATGCTAAGAAGAAATTTGAGGAAGAGGTGAGGTCTGATTTTTTCCTGGTTATAAAAAAGGAGTAAGTAATCAGAGAATCACTACTTCCACTTCACTGAATAAATACTTCCTACATATTGTCTTTACAACCAAGCTATAGCACCCTTCTAAGAATGTCATTAGGTGGAGAAACTGGAACTCCAGTCCTTATAATGTGAGCTGAATTGACTATTCTTCTAAAACCTTGAGAAATACTCACACTTCTAAACTAAGAAATTCAGGAGACGGTTTGAAGCAATAGATATGCAAAGTTAGGGAGACAAGATGTTGTTGATAGGTGCCGTTGTGTCAGTTCTGACTCATAGCGACCCTATATACAACAGAAGGAAACACTGCTGGTCCTGCGCCATGCTCACAATCACTGTTATGCTTGAGCCCATTGTTGCAGCCACTGTGTCAATCCATCTCCTTGAGGGTCTTCCTCGTTTTCACTGACCCTGTACTTTACCAAGCATGATGTCCTTCTCCAGGGACTGATCCCTGCCGACAACATATCCAAAGTATGAGAGACGTAGTCTCGCCATCTTTGGTGAAAGGTTACAACTCTGATGCACATTTTTCCTGACTTTAAACCGTGCAGTATCCCCTTGTTCTGTTCGAATGACTGCCTCATTTATATCAAGAAAAGTCTTGAAGGAATATGCAATGACAAGTTCTTGGAATGTTCCATTAGAGGAATTTGGATTTGTCTTCATCCTCTCTGAAACTACATTTCTAATCCCATGCCATTAAATAGTCTATTAAAGATGCCCTCTTATTAATTTTTATGTTTTTTCCTAAGGCCTTGCATTTTCTGCTACTTTGAATAATTCATCTATTCATTCGTTTATTCATTCATTCACTTAACATATATTTATTGAAAGTGTACTACATGCAAGCACTATGAAAGGCACTCAAGATTCAATGATCAGCAAACGCAGAAACAGTTTTCTATTTCAGAGAACTTACAGTCTAGTGAGTAAGACAACATAAATCAAATATACAAACAATTAGAAAATCACAAAATTATAATTAATGAAAGGAGAAGTTTATGGTGCTAAGAGGATATATTACGAGGAATCTGACCTAGGGGAGCTTCTGAAGGAAGTGACATTTGAATGAGATCTGAAGAATGAGTAGGACTTATGGTGTTGGGAAACTTCAGGCATTATGGGATGCAAAAAAAGTAGTAACTAATTTTACTATAAGGAGAAATCATGAGGAATATGGATGTTGCATGATCTGGAAAGCCCCTGACAAAGAAGTTACATCAAAATTAACACTATGTTTGAAATTCACAACCCTACTAACTTCCTACTTTGTCTTATATTTTTGTGATATTCAGCTACTTATCAATAGACGCAACTCTGCAGCGGCTGGAATCACATTCCTTCTACAATATGAGTAAAATGACTCACATGTAAGTACAATGGAAAGTGCAGCAGGGCTCCCAGCCATAGCCACCCATGACTGATGATTTTGCGGCTCCAGATGGCAGTGAGAACTGGTTTCTAGATCATGGGTCAAAACTTCTGTTTATGATCAAATTCTTAAGTTTTTGTCACTCTGAGTTTATGTTAATCTATCCTAATTACTTCTCAATTCCATGATTGGAAGCTGAAAGACAACGTTCGAAGTCCTCTACTTAAGCTATTATTTTATTCTATTACTATGGTGTCTGTACATTTTACTGGTGTATATGTCAGTGAGTCAATAGATATTTATTGAGTGCCTACCTAATGCCAGGGACTGTGCAAGATTATGAGGTATAAAAACAAACAGTTTTTTCCTTTATTAAGAATAGCTTAGTGATATTAGAATAGGAGGTGGTTAAAAACTCTGGCTCTGGAGTCGGTCACAGTAGGGTTCAAACCTTGCCTTCTCTGTCTACTCACTATTTAATCTTGGACAAATCATATAATCTTTCCTCTCTTCAGTTTCCTCATTTGTAAAATAAAGGTAATAAGTGTTCCAACTTCATATGGTAATTATAAATACTGAATGAGATAATGCATGTAAGCATTTAGCACAATGACTAGCATATACGAAACAGTCAATACACTTCATAAATAATTATTTGTTTTTTTAGTTCTCTAGTACATTACAACTTATAAAGAATTTTACATGTAATATCACATTTAATTCTTGTAAGAAGACACGTTATGGAATATTAACTTTATTTGATTAATGAAGAAAAAGAAACACCTATCATCAATAAATACTCAGTATGTTCTAGACACTATGCTAAGCATTTTGTGTAGTTTATTCAATTAACTCTCATTTAACCCTCAAAAAATAAACCTGTAAAGTAGGGATTATTATTTTCATTATTTATATGGGAAAAACACAACAGAGAGAGGCTAAATGTGTTTCCCTAGGTCACATAGTCACTAAGGGATAAGGCTAGATTTTTTAAATCATGACTGTCTGACTCAAAAATGTATGCCCTAAGCACTACATTATACTGCCTTCAACAATACTGTTGTCTCAATATCACATAAGATCAGTTATTATCTGAGAACAACTAGAAGAGCTGGACAAAAAAAAAAAAAATCTGCTTAAAGGTATTGGAAGGATATCAAGGCAGCAGGGACTTGAGGGGATAGAAGAAAGCCCCCAAAAGTAACCCTAACATTTTGATTATCTTCCCCTTGAGTATTTGCTGAATTGTAAGCAACAGCTGAGAGAATGAGGCTGAACAGAGGTTTAGGTACTCTCACAGGGTACAGAAATAAAAATTTGAGTTGAGAACACAACTAAGGAGGATGGTGCATAGTAAACACCTCAATATTTTAGCTAAGATCTCTAAAGAGCCTCATTCTAGGTGTATGGGATAACTAGAAATAGATCATACCTCATAAACACAGAAGCCTTATAAAGACTGAATTTTTTTTTAATTTGAATTAAAAAAAAAATACCAAGCATACAAAAAAAAAAAAAAAAACAAGAATTAATGGGAAAAAATCAAGAGGAAAAAAACAGAAAATGATCCACAGGAAATGCAGATATTGGAAATCCTTTAGATTTCAATCAGACAAAGACTTTAAAACAATGACTCGAAATGAGAAGGAACAGCTGCAAATATCCATTAATAACTGGAACGTGGAATATACAAAGTATGAATCTAGGAAAACTGGAAATCAACAAAAATTAAATGTAATGCATAAACATTGATATCCTAGGCATTCATGAGCTGAAATGGACTGGTATTGGCCATTTTGAATCGGACAATCATATGGTCTACTATCCCGGGAATAACAACTTGAAGAGGAACGGCATTGCACTTATCATCAGAAAGAACATTTCAAGATCTATCCTGAAGTACAACACTGTCAGTGATAGGATAATATCCATATGCCTACAAGGAAGACCAGTTAATATGACTATTATTCAAATTTACACACCAACCAGTAAGGTCTAAGATGGAGAAATTGAAGATTTTTACCAGCTTCTGCAACTGAAATTAATTGAACGTGCAATCAGGATGCATTGATAATTACTGGTGATTGGAATGCGAAAGTTGGAGACAAGGAAGAAGAATCTGTAGTTGGAAAATATGGCCTTGGTGACAGAAATGTTGCCGGAGATCACATGATAGAATTTTGCAAGACCAACAAGTTCTTCATTGCAAATACCATTTTTTAACAACCTAAACAGTGACTATCCATATGGACCTCGCCCGATGGCATACACAGGAATCAAATTGACTACATCTGTGGAAAGAGATGATGGAAAAGCTCTATATCATCAGTCAGAACAAGGCCAGGGGCTGACTGCAGAACAGACCATCAACTGCTCATATTCAAGTTCAAGTGAAACTGAAGAAAATTAGAACAAGTCCACGAGAGCCAAAGTATGACCTTAAGTATATCCCACCTGAATTTAGAGACCATCTCAAGAACAGATTTGACACATTGAACACTAATGACCGAAGACCAGATGAGTTATGGAATGACATCAAGGACAACATACATGAAGAAAGCAAGAGGTCATTAAAAACAAGAAAGAAAGAAAAGACCAAAATGGATGTCAGAAAGGACTCTCTTGCTCTTGAACGTCAAGTAGCTAAAGCAAAAGGAAGAAATGATGACTTAAAAGAACTGAACAGAAGATTTCAAAGGGTAGCTCGAGAAGACAAAGTAAAGTATTATGATGACATGTGCAAAGAGCTGGAGAAAGAAAATCAAAAGGAAGAACACACTCGACATTTCTCAAGCTGAAAGAACTGAAGAAAAAATTCAAGTCTCAAGTTGGAATAGTGAAGGATTCTATGTGGAAAATATTAAATGATGCAGGAAGAATCAAAAGAAGAAAGGAAGGAATACACAGAGTCATTATACCAAAAAGAATTGGTCGATGTTCAGCCATTTCAAGAGGTAGCATATGATCAGGAACTGATGGTACTGAAGGAAGAAGTCCAAGCTG